TATTTATCCAAATACACCAAAAATTTCATTACTGCTTTTTAAGTGCAGGATTTGCAGCGTATTATTGCATTTTATTTGAGATGTTTTTGTTGGTAGTACGGAGGGTATTTATTTAGCAATGTAGAATAATAATTTTTATTTATAAAAACTTGTATTTAAACTGAATCCTTTTCCATTTTGCGAAACCAAATAGCCGCCATTTTGCGGTAGGAGGAGCGCATCGCGTGAGCGGATAATGGCGAACTAGGGGATATTCCAATAAAACTTAGCAAATTGATGTAATTCCACGTACTTTTGAGGTCAGTTTTTTTAGTACTCTACACTGAGAGTATTATGATATCAAGTGATGTAGAAGTCGTACACCTGGTGGCAAGCGACACGTCTACCCAAAACAGTTACCATGCCACACAAAGCAGTAAATTGCAAAGATCTGAGGGGTCACTGCGTCTCTCACTCTGAAACAAGAAGTTGACAAGTTCCACGTACCCGTAAATTTAGCAGCACCATTACCTTTTAAAGCAAGGTATTTCAACGCGAGTCTACATTTTAGGAGGTGAGGTGTGGGGGACCGTAACCTGACACAGGAGATAATAAAAATCGGTTCTCACTACTCAAAATATATTGAGAGAAAAACGCCTTGAATTGCAGAATCAATCATTAATATGATTGCTCTTTATAATAAAATTTAGGCGCTATTTATAAAAATGAAACTTCATGCGTGAACAGCTACCCTTAGAGGTGGATGATTTTCTTTAAAATTAAATGGGACTACTATGGAGGTACTCTCTTTCCAACAAAAAAAGAATCATCAAAATCGGTTCACAAATACCGGAGTTATCGCGTAACATACATACAAAAAAAAACATACCGTCGAATATCCTCCTTTTTTTGAACTCGGTTAAAAATAAAAACAGGCGTTGAAAATTTTACATAGATCCGTCGTCGACAAGTGCCAGATGGTGGCTGACGGGGCAGCAGACGCTGGGCAAATTTCAAATTTTGAGATAAATGTGAATTTAATAACTATAGTGCTTCTTCTTCTCTGTAGGACTTAAAGAGAAATATCTCTATATAAAAATTATGAGCAAAGTAGATATCTTGTTCTAGATTTTTATTTTAGCTTGTTTTCAAGATTTTATGTGGTCATATCCATCATACATATATAATCCTATAGTGTAACAAATAAGCACATTTTTTAGACGATACCCTAAGGTATATCGTATATTTTTTGAAAGACATTGTTTTTTACTAGTAAATACCTAAACCAGTAATAACCAACTTTTTTGTACGATAAAAAAGTTTTTCCCGCTTCTCTTGCGGTAACTAACCTTAAAACCACTGACTTCATAGCTTGGGGGCGGAAATAGTTGCAGTACTTCCTCGGGCTAAACCTTTTATACATGACTTGGCAGTGGCAACCGAGCGCCCCCGGATCTTTGCGATTTAACTGACACTACTACGGACAGGCGTTTCGCTTACGACCAGGCGAACAACTTGTTCGTCCCGTCATATCATAAAAAAAAACATTCGACTTTAACTTCATTACAATAAGATTAATATTTGTCAAATGTCTGAACGTTCAATTATATATGAGTGAGATAAAATACCATTTTCATCGTCATCAACGTATTCTAGGTATGTCCCACCGCTGGGCACGAAGTTCATAATTAACTGCCTCCGTGGCCGAACGGTTACCATGCCGGACTGCCACCCAGAGGTCCCAGGTTTGATTCCCGGGCCGGGAGAAATATTTGTATGGTCTACATTTATTTCTAAGTTAAGTTTGGGTGAAATTTCTGGTTGTCTATGTGTGTGTCCCTGGCACCCGCGACACAGGATTTCCCTGGTGCAGGGCTATGTTGAGTGTGTGCGTTATTATTATAACTAAAATAATTTAATTAGTAAATTTAAACATCACACGTAATTAATATAAATTTAAACATTATGGAACATTCTACTAAAAACTTCATGGCAAATATTCACGATTTTATGTAATTTAATCATTGCCCTAATAAAAGTATCAGGCGTATTGCATATTTGCAATATTATTGTGCGTAATAGTGAAGCGTTATTTATCATCAACGACTCATTTATTTACACGTCACACTGCTGGGCTTGGGTCTCTGGCGAGGGTGCTCCGCGCTGGACAAATGCGCGTTGGGAACCACATAGGTTTTCCACGGGTTGTGTACCTTCTTCGACGAGCAGATTCTATTACGATGTTTTTTCTCGCCATTAGGGGGCAGTATTGCTACTAAATATTAATAAATGTATGTGACTTATTATTATAGGCTATGTAATATATTTCATAAACAGATAAATAAATCGCCATGTTGCATAAATACATGTAAATAATACGAACTTGAATAACAATAAATCAGTACAGAGAGTACTAAAAAAACAGACAAAAAAAGAAGTGGAATATTTTCTTCTAATTTAAATGGGAACATTTCTGAGGAACCCTCTTTCCAACATAAAAAGAATCATACAAAAAAAATCGTTCATTAATTCAAAAAACATACTTTTTGTACAACAGACTTTTAAGTCGGTTAAAAAACGTGACAGGACAAGCAAATCTTTGTAATTTTTACAAACATTTGTTTAACTATTTCTACCGCTAAGCAGTAATGTCAGCATTACAGCGTTCCGGTTTTTAACATAAAGAGTGCTGGTGAAACTGCTCGAACAAGCGTGTCGATTACCGCGTGTCACGAAAAAGAAAAATGCATTTACTCGTGCTAATTTCTGTTACCTTTTAATTTGTTTTAGATGACAGAGTAGTTATTTACGCCTCCCAAACCTTCGTCGCTGTACATTGCGGTGTTAAAACCTATGAAGAACAAGATTATCCAGACAGCGATAAAAATTTCACAACACTTTTCGTTCAATTTTGCGATCCACCAAAAGAATCCTACGCAAGCGTCCTACTTGAACATAATTATAATATTAAAAACATAAGTGCACTTACAATGGACCAAATACCTTACGACTCCGTTCTAAAAGGTAAACATCTCGATGGACTGAACCTAACTGAAGTGAACATACGTGGTGTAAGCACAAGTAATCTTGTACGAATCAATAGAGATTTTCTTGAAGCTTTAAGTAACGTACGATCGATGCATTTCGAAAACGTCGTCATAGAAACGATACCTGAGACAACGAAAGCTATTGCAGTTATAGTTAATTTCGGCAGATTCAAAGGCCCCTGGGAAGGATGTGAAAATCTACAGTATCTAATAGTTGCGCAAGTTGAAGTTCCGGATATAAAGAATTGGCTGGCAAAATGTACCAAACTGAATACTATTATACTACAACGCATGCCGTTGGTGCATTCTCTGCGATGGGTTCTTCAAGGAGCGACTGCTTTAAGTGATCTTGTAATCAGAGACTGCGATATCAAATGGTTAACAACAGATCTTTTCATCTCCAATGTCAATTTAAGAAAAATGAAGCTAAACAACAATAGGATTGTATATTTGGAAAGGTGACGCTGTAATTTTACCAATCAATACGAATTGTTAGACATAAGGCGCCAGACAAAATAATAGTTGAAACAAAATGATGTAGTTTTGTATTGGTGATTGTAGAGCATAGGTTCCCAAACTTTTTGGACTGTGAGCCAAGATAAAAAGATATTCAACGCCCACCACAAAAATAATTGAAAACACGTATTTTTATACCTATTAACTTAACACCAAAAATCACAAAGAAAAAAAATTGTGCTGTAGTTTACGAAGATAATTATTATTATAATATAAATTATAATTCACTTTTTTTTTTAATGCGGTAACACCCCCTTTACAGCATCAACGCCCCCCAATTGCTTCCGAGGTCCCTAGGACTCTCCAGAGCGCCCACTGGTGAGCGGTAGTGACCACTTTGGGAAACCACGTTTTACAGATTATTCTACATCAATAGTAATTGATGTTGGTGGGTAAAAGAAACCTCCTAAAATACCGCGAAACAAAAACGTATTCTTTTATTTGGTAAACTTTGTTTAACACCTTTATTCACACTGATCTACTCAGAACCAAACAATCGGTTATGGGGGGTCAGGTATAAAAATAAAGCATCGACCAAACATTCTACTCCAAGCAACGCAGCCGATCGCAGGTGTGACTTGGTGTTTATGAGCGTGCATTGCTTCGAATTTTCATGCAATATCACGGAATCCAGAACAGTCACCTGCGATCCGCTGCATCGTTACTTGAAATAACAACTTACAGGCAAAACTTTTTCGCAGGTTTGGAAACTTAACTAAACTGGAAGAGTTGAACTTGTCTACAAACCGGTTAGCAGACGGAGCATGGAATATGAAGATTATAAGTACACTACCGACTCTCAGAGCCCTTGATTTGACTGACGTGTATTTGCCCAATTTCTGCAACCATTTTAATAAAAGGTATTTTTTTATTAACTATAAATTCATTTCGTCGTTGCAATTTCAATTAAGAAGCCAATAGAATCGGACAAACGTTACACCACCACACAAAGTATTATGTGGACCATGTTAGGTTCTTTGGATGTCAGCCTGCTACAAAACTCCGTATGACGTTCTGTCCAAACTATCTTTATTCATTAAACTTAAAGGGATGGATTGTAATCATTATACGTCATAGTCAGAAAATTAAAACATTGAACTCTTATTCAAAGTCAAAGAATCATTGATTCCATAGGTAAAATAAATTTATACTTGATTATAACTAATGTAATTTTTTTAAGCTATTGCTAGTTCCCTGTGCTGACTTCCCTTAGAAGAACGATCTAGAAACTATGGAGATAAATGATATGGAATATAATTTGAATCAAATTTGTGTGGAACATAGAGTCATGTCGTCTCTCCATACATCTTTATCTATAATCAATAAAAAATAGTTTGACTATCACGCGCAACGTAGGGTCCTACTCATTAGACGATCACGGCCTAAGAATATACGGGAATGTAACTGATAGGGGTGGAGAAGGCGAAGGAGGTTTGTCAGGAGCGTAGCAGGTGGAGGTCATAGTCTTTGCCTACTCTGCGGGAGATAGGCGTCAAAAAATATATATGCACTAACACCTAAACTAATTTCCATTTAAAATATTGTTTTGCAGCAAAAAATTTAATTTAATAACGGATGAAGTGGATAAAGCTGTGGAACCATTCAACGTGACGATTTTGGACCTCGAAGGAACAGGAATGTCAAGACTTTGCTTCGCAGATTGGCCCTCACTGCGGGATCTCTACTTGTATAGAAACAATATTTCAGTTTTAGAGGTAAGATTTTAAATTCCAAAAATTCAACAACACTTATTTTGTTAAATATGAATGTGGAGTTTTAACACAAGTCACGAATTTTCGGCAAAGGTATTGATTGATTCATGGTGAAGATGTGAAAAAGTAAGTGACAAAATTATAAAAAACCAAATATGTAGAACCATGTTCAAGTAAAAGAAGTAGGTTAGGTGACATTACAAAGCAGAAGTAACTAAAAATTGCATCAAACATCAAACTGAAAAGCTATGGAACATTTAAGAAATGCATGCAGTCTGGAGTAATAACAGCACGCTTAAGCATCTTTTTAACATTGCAATGTTTACCTGCACCTGTTTTTTATTATTCTAGGTCAATCAATTACCGATTAACAAAACTGGATTGATGAGAGTATATTTGGATGGCAACCCTGTCCGTCGAGTTGAGTTTGATGAAAAGAACTATGAATTCTTGAAATCACGTACTAATGTAAGTAGAAACTGATATAGACGTCAAAAGTGACAAGCCTTGCAGTTCCGACTTGGGTGTTAACAATTTCATTCAAGAGTTCATTCAATGAAGCATTACCACCATTACTGCCTTCCAGTCTTAAAGGGTAAAGGTGCTGGTGAAACGACAGGTACATTTTTTATTTCTCAGAGTGGCGGGCGCAGTGGCAGTGCCCCTCAGGTTTCTGCGATTTAAATCTTTGATTAGCACTGCACTTAACGTGGAGGCGTGACGCTTATCATCTGGCGCATTACTTGTTCGGTATCATATAAATACAATACTTATAAGAAGAAAAATGTGTTCAAAAACAAAATCATTTGATAGTGTCGTTTTAGAATAATTGCAGAAAATAATCGAATTCCCATAAATTTGGTACAATTCCCAAAAACAGTATTAAGGAAAATTATTGCTATTAATCGAAACATTTCCCCCTAAAAATATTTTACTCTGTTTTAAAGAAAATTTTATAAGTTTTATCATTAGATACAGCGTTTCAAAGTTTCCGTCAAAAATAAAAAGTTTTTTCAAACTAATGGGTTTCCTTTCCACCCATTTTAGTAGAATCGTCCTTTATTACAGTGACCTTATATTCAATATCTCAATTTATGTTAGATGTTTGAAGGTTACTATTCCTTTTGATTTCATCTTAAGTGTAAACCAGCTTTCAACTTTTAAAGTTAAGAGAGTGAAGTATGCTTAAATATCATTGACCTACCATTGGTAAGTCAATGTTAAATATGCTAAAAAAACGACAATATCTCTTGTGACAACTTAGATCATAGACTCGTGTCATAAAATGGCATTATCGTCCAATCCTTACCATAATCTACTAACTTTAAAGCCAGCCTGAAGTTCAGAAATAAATTCAATTCCTATTTATTTTTGAATCCAATTCTGGACTTGAAACTTCTGCTAACTCCTTCCGTAGACCAGTTGAAAGAGCTATAATCCCGGTTGGGCGAGAAAGTTGCTGGTTCGATCCAGCCGGTGCGAAAGATTTTTACTTTGTGTCAATAATAACAAAACTAGTTGAGTCTTTTCATAACCAATATATGAATAAGATGGTTGCACAAAGCGTGATATTCAACAAAATAAATAACGTAGAGATTCGTTTTATATAATAGGATTGGCATTCAAGTTTGGTTGTTAGGCCCCTAATAGCAATTAGCAAACGGATATTTATTTGAGATTGAAAAGTACTTTATCTTCCAGTTTACAAGATTAGAAGTAATAATGAACTTCACACTGGATTGCGACTGCCATGGCGCGTGGTTTGCGCGCGCAGCTCGTGACTATGTCATTACGGCTATACTAGCAGGCTGCAGTGACGGGACACCACTGACTATTGTGCCACCAGAGCGGGTTGAATGTGACAAGTTTTCTTGTGAAGGTTAATTATTTCAGTCTTTCTACTTACATTCTTTAAGTTATTTTCTTTGGACTATGATAAGAGGTTATACAAAAAGCTATTAAACAAGACTCTCAAAAGTCTGCAACGCGTAGATAGTTCCTCCAGTGTTGCAAATGTCCATGGCCGACAATAACCGTCTCCAAAGTGGTGGACCATTGTCATCATCACTTTCAAAGTGTTTGACAACGATAAAAGCATACCGGGGCAAATTCCTGTAGCAACAATTTAAAGAACCGGACCCCCAGGATTGAGGAGGAAATTGTCTGGGACATAATTAATTATTACTCTACAACGGATGCATTGTAGGCTGCATATGCCGCCGCTTGTGGAAGGACAACATGACGCGAGCTAATTGCACGGCACGAGGGCTTCTTACGTTGCCGCGAGTACCAGCGCTAAAGGAAATAAACGCTAGCAACAACCTTATTGAGACCATATATGCCCATGATCTGCCACAGACTCTCCAAGTAAGTCCCAAAGCCATTAGATTTAAAGAAACCAATCATGTAAGTAAAGATATAACTTAATTTGTACGTTCATAAGCATAATTACATGTTTATACGTTTCAGTCTCTTGATTTACGAAATAATCGTTTAGCACGATTAGACGAAGCTGTAGTGGTAGCTCTTTTCGAGATACCAAACCGTGGTGTACAATTATCAGGCAATCCAATTATCTGTGACTGCGAGAACAAACCGTTTCTGGAGGCTCTCAGGGATCATCGAACTCAGGTACTCATAGTTCTTTACTGAAATCTTATTATTACTTTATCAACATTTTGTGACCTTGTTAGAGCAACGGTAGTTTTGATTAGAGAGTTAGAAGGTTAACGCGGCTAAGCTTCAAACAAGATATCCACTTGAAGTTACTGGAAATCTTTAAAGTCCTCACTATTTTTATTTAGATAACAGGATGATATTTATTACTTAGCTTGATAGATATGAAAATCTCATTATCAAATTAATGAAATGTAAGGAATGACTAGTGTATAACGGAGCTGCTGGAATTTCAGGTCGACGATTACAATAACGTCACCTGTGCTGGAGACGGGAAAACTATGGATGAAGTGGATTTCGATGAATTGTGTGACGCTAAAAAGATTTTGCTAACTGTTACGTTAGCTGTAAGCGGAATGTTAATAGGTTTGGCAGCTCTTGTTGGTGCTCTGTATTGTCGATATGAGAAAACAATTAAGATATTTCTCTACGCGCGTGGCATTTGTTTATTCTGTATGGCTGAAGACGAACTTGACGCAGAACGCGAGTACGATGCGTTCGTTTCTTTCGCTCATGAAGATGAACAGTTTGTAATGGAAGAGCTAGTAGTATATTTAGAGAAGGAATATAAAATTTGTGTACACTACCGCGATTGGATAGTAGGTGATATGATTCCGACACAAATAACGCGGTCCGTTGAAAACTCTCGCAGAACTATAATTGTATTATCGAAGAAGTTTGTAAAATCACTATGGGGACTACTAGAATTTAAAACGGCTCATTTCTGCGCACTGAGTGAAGGCAGGGTGCGGGTCATCGTGTTAGTTATAGACGACGTTACGGAAGATGACACCTTGGACTTGCAACTACGAGGTTACTTACTCACCAACACGTATCTGAAATGGGGAGATCCGTGGTTTTGGGATAAGCTGAAATATGCAATGCCACGTAAAGGAATGGTAGAGACAGAAACTGTACCAAGAACTTTAAGTGATTTATCGAATTTTAATAGGTCCAATATGTTGAGAATGGGAATAGAGTTGCCTGCCTTACCATCGCCTACTACTTGTTAATCTAAATCGATGATTGTCAAAGTGATCTCGACCTCCAGGAGTCCACTCTAACCAAAAAGAAGTCTATGTCAGTGAAAAACACATGGGGTGTATGAGACGTCAATGGGATCCACGAGAGTGGAATTCGCGCCTGGTGGTAAGAGACATGCATATCCATAACAGTTGTAGTGCCACTGACTGACACTGACTGACTCAGCGCCCGACACCCTGAAACAAATGTTGACAATTCTCACGTGCCTGTAATTTCACCAGCACCCTTATTCTTCTAAACCGGAACGCAGTAATGCTCACATTACTGCTTTGCGGCAGAAATGACAGAAATGCCTGGACGACCTCTTTCATAAGGAGCTCCAGTGCTACTAAATAAATAATTTTTACTTTCCAAAAACTAAATAATCCATATTACACAAATAGTACCTACTCGTATGTGTATAATCAATGTCCTAAAATACCTGAATAGAATAAGATACCCTTTTGTTTTTAAGTGCCAAAATGTACAGGAATTCCAGTATATGGTTGAAATTCATATTTATTTAATGTAATTAAAGACCAAATTAGCTTTAAAAGTTTCTTATAACGTCATCCTTTCTTTCCTAATGATGCTATAAAGAAGTCATACCATAATAAATTTTAGGGCTCACAGGTCAAAGGTTAAGTAAGCCACGTTTCATCTTTTTTAGGCCGATCTATTCAGAGCCAAAGAAACGGTTAGAGGGTCAGGTATACATAGCGCATCGACTGTACTTACCTGATATTTTCTTATTATGGACATGTAAATTACCTACGAAAACAAGAAACAAGGCATTCGTTTGAATAACTTGTACTATACCACAGTTAAACTTATCAAATTGAGTAACACAGTGCTGCCACCTTACGCATCGCGTACGCGTTTTCACATAGTTCGTTTTTACAGATTTTTGTTGAAGACAAATTTTATGAACTTCTTGGTCAAATATAGTATTAAAGTAATGTTGTATCTGAAAGAGGTATAATTTAACAAATTTAAATGCTAAACTACATCTATTTAATACATTTTATACCACATTTTTATCTTCGTCCTGAAAAATTACATATAAATCACATGCGAGGTATTCACTTTAAGACAACGATTTAAAGATAATTAATTTGTAAAATAATCCTTATAGGCACGTGGTTTACGAGAGAAAAAAGTATGGCAACCTGTGATCTGAATAATAAATAAAGCAGATGCAACTTATGATGCATAGCTTATGTATTTCTTTTTTTTTTACAAATAATAATAATAATAACGCACACACTCAACATAGCCCCGCACTAGGGAAACCCTGTGTCGCGGGTGCCATGGACACACACATAAACAACCACAAATTACACCCAAACTCACGAGAGAAATAAATGTAGGTCATACAAATATTTCGCCCGGCCCGGGAATCGAACCTGGGACCTCTGCGTGGCAGTCCGGCATGGTAACCGTTCGGCCACGGAGGCAGTTATAAATGTAAGTGCGCATTTGACATCCGTTTCACCTGATGGCAAGTGACGATGAGGTCGACGATGGAGCATGCACACCTAAATAATGCCTATTCACTCTCGCCTTGAAAAGGTCCAAGTTGTAACGTTCAGGGAACAAGTCAGCAGGCAGCAGGGAATTCTACTCCATAGCCGTTCGCCATATGAATTCGCACGAAGCATAATGCTCCGTGGTATAATCCTGTAAAATACCGATAAGCAGGCAACTTTAAGGCGGCGTTCAAGGCTCTGCAGCTTTGCCTCTAATAATTTCCAGTCACCATAGATAACCTCCTAATAGATGCCGCATACAGGGCAACACACATCCGTGCAATTGATCATATGTAAAATTTTGCAAAAATTCATCACTTAGTTTCGACCAAGTATCAGACCCGTGCGCGTCTCCTGATATTCCTGTATTGTGACATGTACCTGGTTTTGGTGAAACGAACTATAAAAATGACTGTCTGTGCCGTGAAATGGTGTGGAAAATCATCTAGGACTAATGGAATCACGTTTCACCGGTAACTTATAACTACGTTATTTACAAGTTTGGCATAGGTCAAATTAAAATGGCTAATACTAGAAAATTACGAAGGAAACTGATCTCTCGTTGATGTCTTTCTGACAGGTCTCTTTCTTATAATATGTTCTTATAATTAAGCGTCTCTTTTTTGTCGAAGTCACGTGTAACACTAAGGTTGGGAAGATTTGAGCTTTCGTCACATCGATACTTTGCGTAAAGAGGAAATAAAGAATTATTGTAATTTTTTATTTATTTACATACACTGTAATAATTATTATAATTTCATTATAATTTTACTCAATTATACATAATAGCAAACATTAAGAACTCGTGTAGTCTTGTTTGACAGTTGATTAAAATTTTAAATTTGTTTTTAGGTTTCCTAAATGTCGTAAGTAAATTGTTTTCTTACAATTCCTTTTTATCTAAATATCCTCCTGCTGTCGTAAGTTAAGCGTCGTAATAATTTACATACATACTATGTAAATTATTGAATGACTTACGATTTCCACTATGGGAGACAGGCGTGACGGTAGTACCCCAATGGGTAGGCAGAGCTTTGAATAAGACAAGCCCACTTTAACCGCGTTTAGCAAACGTTTTTATTAAAATTTTAGTATAATTTAGTGCACTAAATAGTGAAAGGTTGCCAGATTGTCGCCTACATATAGGACACCATTAAATCGAGGCTCTCAGTTGGCTTTTACGATTTGCGCGGAATCATAAGCAGCTGATACATTCTATGCTTTTCTTTTGCTTCCAGATCAGCATGGAAGAATTAAATAATTTGCGTTACAATATTATCGTTTTTATTGACTAATCGGATGCAGACTAGTAAAGGTTGCCCATCACTAGCTGTAAGTACGATTTCAGTGCATTTCTAGTTCGACCTTGAACTAGCGAATTAGAACGTCTTAATTGCATTCCCCGCGTCCCTTGCCTTCCTCCGAATTTGGTGAGCTCGGTTCAGTATACATTTTCAACAGGCGGCATCTATTAGGCGGATATCTATGCTAGTCACCTATAAGCCTCTTCGCCCGCTTGTCTATTGAATCCAAGGTAAGTAAACATTGAATCCAAAATAAGTGTAATTCCAGAAATAAATACTCATTGATTCTGAGTTTTCTTGACGATCGATCTTGATTGACAAGGATTTCCATCTCGCCCTCAAATTCGGTTTGAGCCGATGCAAAAGCTTTACGTTGATGCAGTTAGAGCGAAAAAGATCGCCGATGGGAAACACACTAGGTCTCTTTCACTCATATTATAATATGAATATCAGTGGCGAGGCGTTCATATAACTCGACTCCCACCACCGGCTTGCCTTAAATTTCCCACGTACTTCCAAAATACTGTACCAGACTGCACGTATACGTAAATAAGACAAGTATAGTAAATTCATACAAACGTAGCAGGGCGGTTCGTATTGTCAAAAAAATATACCTTCGTAATTTCATTAAGAAAGAAGATGTCCATAATATTAGAACTAAGTCCAAACTAATGGTATCACGATTTCGTTTAACTAAGGCAAACGACTCTTTTCTAGGGATTTGTATATTACGTTTTTAAAATTACAATAAGATTCCAGAGCATATATTAAAATTATACTTACATTAAAAGGATTTTAATTGTAAAGTCACATTACAAAATAGAAGACTACGGGTTAGATAAAGATGTACGGAAAGACGATATGGGTCTAAATTCTACACAAATTTAATCCAAAGTGTAAGTATTCCATAGCATATATGTTTATTTGAAAAGAGCTATTCCTAGTTTCTTGCTCGCTTGCCTACGGCTACAGATTAATTAATAGTTACTACGTAATAGATACATCACTCTCATACAAAATCGGAAATACCTACGCTATAATAGCCTAATAAATCTGACTTATGACACCTGGAGCTCAATACGAGGAAAAAGAAACCTAAGCACGCGCTCTGATAGATGAAAATAACGTTGCCGCCGTGTGCAGTCGTGCGGAGCCGAATGCTTATAAATGAAAGACTTGTATGAGCGCTTGTGCCGACGTCGGTACACTCAGCGGTAGGCATTTATATTAACCTTGCACAAGAGATGGAGCCTTGCTACGGGTACAATTAAAATAATAATGCAACTCCTAGTAGTTGCTCCGAGCGAAGTGTCAGCATTTACACGCCGAACAGGTGGTGGGAGTTGCCCTACTTGCTTTTATTATACTATGCTTATAGCTACACTAAAACACACGCGAACTTTAGACAAGCAAAAATTTAGTTAAAACTAAACTAACTTGCATCTAAGGCCTCATCTTAAGGCTCATAGTATATACAGGCTCGAATGATTGGTTAACCTCAACTTAAACTCAGTGATGCGAATACAAAACTGTACACACTTCAATCAACATTATATCTACAATTTAGTATTTAAATGTAACCTTTCAAGAAACATCAACTAACATAATTAACTAAACGAAATCTAGTACCGATTGAAAGCTAAGTATTTTACTCTAGACTTTAGAATTGCGATTTGTTTGAGAATTATTTTTTTTTATTTTTATTAATGAGTGTACCTAAATGAAGGTAAATTAAGATTTCTGTAATTGTTTTAATGAGGGTATATTTTTTGATAATGAATAGAGATAGAAAAATATTTTTATATACACTCCCGGACACATAAATCGAGCCATCTTGCATTTTGATTTTTCAAGTGCTAGAATAAAAAAAAAATTATTATCATTGAAAAAAGAGTTTTTCCCGGTTTCGCAAATTCATTTCAACAAAACATTTTGAAAATGACGTTTAGTTCACCAGCTTCAAACTTGAATTAGTTATTAATCAACCAAACACTATTTAAGCTAAAGACATTTAATATTGACAATGCAAAATGGCTCGAATTATGTGTCCGGGAGTATATTTCTCGTAGATGGCGTAAACGTTAAAACAAAAAAAAGATCTGCATCTGCAACAAGCACAAAGAAATTCGGTGACTTAGTTGGTATAGCGTATGGCAC